GATTCCACCGGTGTCGTCCATGGCTGTTCATACGGTCCATACCCGCTTGCCTTTCCCACACTTCCCGTTCATGCCGAATAATGCCGAAGATACTGTTTACACTTCTGGGCTCAAATGATTCGTTTACGTACCAAAGTCAGTACACAGTGAACTCAGGGTTTTAACTCAGGGTTTTAGCCTGATTCCTTGCTGCCTGCCCCATGTGCAAATGTAATACAGCCTAAGTACATATAATGAATTTCCATATGAAATGTATATACATACAAAATAAAAACATATATGTAAAAAATTATAAAACCCATTAGAAATGGGAACAATTTCATATATTGACATATATGTCTAGCCCATTCAAATATGAATGTTTATGTATGTATGCTTATATTTTAGACATATGTTATGTAGATATATGTCCATCCCATAGCCTGTGCCAATATATGTTGATATTCTATACAGAAGGTCCAAAAATCTTAGACTACCAGAATGGGAAGATAGACATGTTTAACATTAATTGATTAAATTAACAAGAAAAACATAATATAACCCTAAAGAATTTTATGTTGTTTTTAATAAACTTATATATATATATATATATATATATATATATATATATATATATATACATATATTAAATAGTAATATAATATTATGTTTGCAACATGTTGTACCATATAAAATTAATTATATATATTTTTAATATGTGTACATATACAATTTTACTATGGGTATTTCATATATATCTTCATGTATCCAGATGATGTATAAATGTGATAACTCAGGGACATACATTTCTGCATGGGTGTGGACTCCTCCTATGGTTTGCATGTTGACATGAGGTTAGAAGATGATTATTTTCTATGTATTTCCCAATATGATCACTCATCATTCCTTCCAGAATATTACTCAGCGATGAGAGCAGCCTGGTTGAATTGCTATTGCATGCAGTAAAATGAATTGTTGTACCTTTTGGAACAGAATATGTTTTTGCATGTTTCCATTCTGAAGCAAACTTCCCTTGCTGCAGAGACAGGTTGAATAAGTGCACAACAGGTCTTGCAGAGAACGGGGCAGCAACTTTTAATGGTTTGTTATCAACTAGATCTTGTCCTGGAGATTTGTCTTTGGGAAGTGAGGTCAGAGTTTTCTCCACGTCATCCAAAAAAGAAGGCAGTGCTCATATTAGACCTCAAATCTTGTTTCTTTGTTCCAAAATGGCCAGTGATTAATGATATCTTCTGGTTTAGTTTTGATTTTCCCATCAATCTTAGCACTGGCATGACCCTGTTGTGTACCCCTCATTTTTGTTATATATATATTTATCTATTTTTGACTAATTTAATACATTTGCTGTGACTCTTTTTGGCTGGACCAACCACAGGCCAGTGCTACATCTGCAACTAAGGGACTCAGTGATGAAGTTACATTTGCAGACTACTGTCACATGACATGGTCCAGCCATATACTGGGTTAGCTAGTTTTAATTGAAACAACTGAAATGACCCTGTCAGTCCGAATCACACTGATGCATCTGGCTGCATCTCTGCTGTGAACTGGGATCAGAATAACTACCAGACTCCTGTCTCTGAGCATCTTATCACTTATTGTCACACACTGAGTTGTGTTGATATAAAAACCCCTGTGACTGATAGCATCTAAAGCCTTTCATTATCCTCAGGACTCAAAGTCCCTATGGTCTTTTACTTCCTTTTGACACATCTTCATCAAACTTTGATAAGACATTTGTTATTAAATTGCTGCCATCACTGATCAATACAGATTCTACAATGATTTACTATTAAATTTTCAATAACAACTTGAAATGTAAAGTCCCTTCATCACCATTTGCACTCATAGGTAAACCATGTTTCTCTGTGGAAGCCAGATTCAGTCAGGTATAGTCAGGGACTCAGGTAGCAGCCATGTGTTGAAACCCCAACACAGGTATCCGAGGTCATCTCAAAGCAGCTTCTCAAGATCTCTGATCTGGTCCGTTGTAGTGAAAGAAAATGTTTGTAAGGTTTAAAACAAATGTCTAGATAAGATGATAACTTCAGTGTGAATCCATTCAACCAAACATTTAGCACACATACCTCTATGGCCAATAAGGCGTGAGTGCTGGTACACCTTGCCAGCCTGGGACAGGTCAACAAGGTGAAGGGGGCCTGTGTGTGGTGGGAGGAGCGCGATGACGTGGAAAACATACAGGTAAAACTCAATATATATCACGTACATCCCCCATTTACCACCATAACAACAGTAGCTACAGTGTTCTCAGTATTTATCCAGTTCTATAGGGGGGTGTAAAAAAGATCCCAGATGACTGCCTTATGAAATAATGATGTCTGTCATTGTAGCTCTCCTTGTTCTATATAGGCAATGAAATGCTACGCCTTGGTCTGTGCTAATATTTAAACCTTAATTATTCCTAAATTGCTCCAATTGAGGCAATTTACTGCTTTTAGCTGCGATTATCTGCCATTTAAATATACTGTTCATTGCTATAAACAATGTGATACGTGACACTGGCCCTTGATTCATACCTGTCCCTATACAAATACACATTAAATAAATAAAAACACAATGTATATTTGATTCTTTATTCAGAATTTCTATTTAAATACAAAACTAATGTGAGAAAAGGCAGGGACAGACTCATTCTCCGTATGTGATGATAAACAAACACACACATATACAATGGTTATATGTGTGTGTATATATATATATATATATATATATATATACATACACACATATGTATATATATATAAAAAATGAAAGTTGACACTATTCATGCAATGATAACATTGTTGCTGTTACACTACTAAATGGTACTGGAAAGGTAAATATTACCTTATCTGGGACAGGAAACAGAGTTCCTTCCAACATTTGAAAGAGAAGGCACATTCTCTTCAGCAGAGAGAAGATTCGTATTAGATCACACCTGGTTAGAATCAGCGCTCGCAATTACAAAACAAAAAGATTTTTCATGAGCATATATCGGCTATTCAACAATTACAAATATAAGTTTTTTTTTTTCTCTAACCTTCCCACTGTGCCCCATCAAATACAACTCCAAATCCCATCTTTGTTGATTAATCACTATGTTTTGTGCATTTATGTGTCTCATGTAATAAAACTGCTTTAGGAGCTGGACTATACAGGCATCATTATAACCACTTAAGTATTTTTGAACACTCTCGTGTTGAGGGACGTCCCAGACAGCTGACATGATAGAAAACAACCTCAGAGACCTGCTCGTATCTCCTCACTCATTGACTTCTGCTAAGGGGTCGATAATGAATGGAATTGCCCTGCACACTTAAAACTTTCCAGCTGAAAGAAACACTGATTCAAATTTCAAAGGGGAGCCGTGGGTCTGCCTCTCGTTAAAGGACCATACCAGCTGAACCTGAAGGTTCATTATTGAGTAGTTTAAAGGTAAAAAAAAAAAACAGCTTTTAAACACATCTCATTGCAGACAAAGTTTCTTCACTTGCCACTGAGACGGTTCCGATGTCATCTCATACAGAATTTTGGTCACTTGATAATAGGTGGCTGTCATCCCTGACTTTATTCAAAGATTATGTATCTAAGTCACAGAATCAGGAAAATGCTTTCCAGGAAAAGGAAGGACATAAAAAAGAGGAAGGTGCAGCAGGGCTGGGGGGTACAGGGAGGGGATCTCACTATAGAACTATGGGAACACTACATCAGTGAAACACCAAGGACCCTGGACAAGAGACAATGACTCGCAGACACAGACAACATTAGCTTTCTGGGAACACCAGATCAAAACCATGCTGTGTCATTGGATAGCCAGAGAAAGATCAAGCTCCATCTGCTTGTCAAGGCCCTGAAATGTGGCCAGAATCTCTACAAATGTCCCAACAAGTGATCTTTACTCTTGTCCTTTTTTTTTTTTATTAAATGATGTTCTTCTGTTTTTTTTCAGTTTTTGTAATTTCCTAAAAAGAACTCTGTCATTTGGAAAAGTTGGAATTTCATTGAAAGACCTGCCCCATTTAAAGCCAAGTAAATATTCAATCATCATTAATCTACTATCAGAAACTTCATGCCATACTTGGCTGTAGACAGGTTTCACATTTTGCGTGTCCAGCTGACAGGCTGATATTAGCTGGAAATGTACCAGCTGTACAGCGTCTCTTCTTTCCAGATTATTACTGTAGCACCAGATCACACTTGTTTCCAGGGGTGGACAGTAACAAAGTGCATTTACTTGAGTACTGTACTTAAGTATATTTTTTGAGTATCTGTACTTAACTTAAGGTTTTTTTTTGGAAATTTTTGACTTTTATTCCACTACACTTATAAGACAAATGTTGTACTTTTGACTCTACTAAATTAAAGCAGAAGCAGAGCTTTTAGTCGGTGAATAAATTTTATTTTATTTTGAAAATATAAAACTGTGTTCAACACACAGTGACTCCAGTGATTCATATGGTGGCCCTGAGAGCTCAATGCACTGCAGCTCAAGAAAACACGTGCAAATAGACACAACACAAACAGATTCAGAAAACATCTTTATCAACTTGACAACACATGTGCTGCAAATGCTCAAAACACAAACAAATTTACAAGCAGGCTGCATTGTGTTGTGAGTATTTGCAGCTCATGTGTTGACAAGTTGATAAAGATGTTTTCGGAATCTGTTTGTGTTGTGTCTATTTGCACGTGTTTTCTTGAGCTGCAGTGCATTGAGCTCTCAGGGCCACTGTTGATTCCACAGTGTGGTTTGATGGACATGTGCAAAAACACTGCTAGTAATACAAAAGCAACAATGGCTCCTCTTGTTGATTAATTTTCATGGCCTTTGTATCATATCCAACAGTCTTTTTATTCTACAGGTTCTACAGTCAGTCAATCATTCGGGTGTTTCGGATTCATTAGGTTCTGTAAATGTGGAACAATACAACATGTTGACCTAAAAAAATTACTTTTGAATACTTCAGAATCTTTTAAAATCAAGTACTCCAGTACTTTAATTCAAGTAAAAATTTGACTGAACAACTTTCACTTGTATTGGAGTCATATTTGTCCAGGAGTATATACACTGTGACTTAAGTAATGAAGTTGTGTACTTTGTCCACCACTACTTATTTCTGGGAAACTGTTTAATATACAGACATTACTGAAGCAGTCAGTAAAACCTTATCCTCACCTACAGTATCTGGTGAAAAAACAATAACTCTTTCAGGGCTCTGATTTAATGTATCGACCAAGTGATAAACTGAAATAACTAATGTCAATACCATGAGCATGACTGAGACAAAGACGGGAGTGTGGGTGTTGTAGAGAACTGTGCTGTGGCCTGATGGGAGGGGAAGTGAAGAGCACTGGATTTTCCCTGGTTCTTCTCACATGGTTTCACTCAGCTTGATGGTCACTGCTTTCACCTCTGAGTACTCAGCCAGGGCGTACTCTCCACTGAGAGGAGAGACACAGCACATGAGGCAGGTTAGGGAATTATACAGCCAACAGGTATAATTGAACAATATGAAATATGAAGAAAGAGTGATGTTTCTTACAGCTCTCGTCCATTTCCTGACATCTTATAACCTCCAAAGGGCATCTGGGCATGAAGGGCGTTATAGCAGTTTATCCTTGAGCACAAGAGAGAAATAAAAAGGGAGATAGATCATTAATGGTGTCTTTACCTCAACTTCAAGACAAAGAAAAGGAACCTAGTAATGCTGGCACATCTAAAGGTCAATGATTAACATATTGTATCCTGTTTATTTAACCTTAATTTGAGGTTTTAGGGGGACTTTATTTCTTGACAAACAGCAGTTTATTCATCCACCCAGCACCAGATTGTTCAGTCTCTCCAAATAAAGAATGGGGTGCTAGCTACAGCCATATAGCACAGGGTTTTGGTATATTGAACTGGCAAATGGGCTAGTGCCCAGATAAGTCAGGATTCATTTCAGTGAGGTTACGTCTTCAGAGCAGACTGGAGGCTAGTGAGTCGCTATCAGAAAGTGACAAGACAGGCTGGGGCTAGCTGGTTAGCGTGCTAACTTCAGTAGAAGACAAGACGTGATAGAGACAAGAGTTAACATTGGCGTTTGTTTCCACCTCAGGAGACAGCTGTTGGTAGGTAAAGGAATGAAGTTTGATGCTGAACTTGCAATGTTTCATCTAGACTGGTAAGTAAAAAGCTGTTAATGCTAACATTAGCTATGTAGCTACAGCAAAACATACAAATAGCTCCTTAAATTTAATTCTCACGGTTTTCACATACTGTTGAGATAATTTCCCTCTAGTGTCAGCACTGTAAGTAAGTAAGTAAAGTTTATTTAAGTAGCACTTTTCACAGACGTGTGTCACAAAGTGCTTCATGGAGCCAAAAACAATTAGGATCAGTCAAATGCAAAAACACAGAAAACACACAGCACTGGATACACAATAACTTATATCCAATAAAACACATAAGAAAGCACTATACTGAGCCATATAAGTGCTTTACAGAGCCATAAACAATTAAGATCAGTCAAAGTGCAAATACATAGAAAACACACAGCACAGGCATACAATATATCCAGAGTGTCCTGTAAAATATGCACAGTTTATGTGAAAGCCTGTTTAAAGTCTTTATATGCTTTTTAAATGGCTCCATAAAATCAGACCACATAGACACACAGGTAGAACGCTCCACAACTTGGGAGATGCGGTCTGAAAAGCTTAATCACCGCAAGTCTTTAAACGGGTGTGGGTGCAGGCACAGACAGTAGGTTTGACTTATTTGACCTGACAGAGCGAGCTGACAAGCAGGGGTGGAGTAGATCAGTTAAATATGCAGGGGCTTGATGGTGCAGTGCTCTATATGTATGAGTGACAGTTTTGAACTGGATTTTAAAAGTAACAGGGAGCCAGTGAGGGGAAGTGACTGTGAGCAGGGACTTACCAGACAGTGCCAGTCTCCAGGGCTGCAGACACAGACAGAGCTCTGTCCATACTTGTTGTGAAGACTGCTGACACCAGGCCATACTGTGAGCTGTTTGCTCTCTCTATGGCCTCCTGTTGGCTCTTAAAGCTGAATATACACTGCACTGGACCAAAGATCTGAGAGGGGAGAGATGTGTACAGGGAAGTGAGTCACACTGTGCGATTCAATTCTTTTGTTTGTAAAATAAAAAAACCTAAAAAACACAATAAAAAAGAACTTGACTAGTTTAAAAATAAATACAGAAATTTTGTGATTGTGATTTCTCAAAGTAACTAAAGTTACAAATTTTTACCTTTGTAGAAAAGCTCAGTTCAGTATGTTCAAGTTTGTACAGTATGTAATGATGATGCTGAGAACCTAATTCACTGCTTTGTGTCGTCCACACGTTACTGTTGTTTTCAGGCCTGCCTCTTGGTAGTACATTCATCTTCAGATGGTTCAGAATGCTGCAGCTAGAATTTGAACTAAATATAGAAAATTTGACCACATTACACCATGTTTGCTTCTCCTCTTTGCCTTCATTGGCTCTTCATTAGGTGCTCTTTGTAGGGCTCCTGTCTGTTCCCAGAGTTAAAAAGATGTCTGCTCCCTGCAGGGTATCTTCTTATCATGTCCCCCTCCTCTGGAACAACCTCCCTGCTGACATCAGACTGTCCGACTCCACTGAGGCCTTTAAATCCAAACTTAACTCATCTTTACATCTTAACTTTTACTTACTTAACTTCTTACTTCAGACCTGTACCTGTTACCATTCTCCCACAGGTTTGTCAGTCTCAGTCTCAGTTCATCTAGTAAACCTGGTGCATACAGTATATTCTATGTTATCCTGTCCATTAGACACCCTTACATGGTGTACAGATTGTAACGCCCCTTGAGACAAATTTGTAGACTGTGATAATGGGCTATATAAATTTGACTTGACTAGCTGGGACAATACAAAATGATACTCTGTCGAACTCTCATGCCAAAGTCATCTCGACATATAAACTACCGATATTGTAGTCGTGAGCAAAACCCAGTGTCTCCGAAATGTCACAATGTCAAGGAGCCAATGTTGGGTATTGGCATCAACCTGATTTTCATTTACCACCAAAATTGAATGCCTGTCCAACGTGCGAGTCATTAGAGTCCACTGTCTTTCTGACATTACATTGATGTGTGGTGCCTACTGTGCAGAGACGGCATTGGCCTATACAATGACATCAGCAATTGTAATTTTTATACATTTCATATCTGAGCTATATGGTCATCTAAATTACAGTAAAATCACATGTTCCATAACTTGAAACAGTGTACAAATATAGTATATTTTTATCAGAACTATTGAAAACCCAAAAACAGATAAAAAATCAGGAATGATAAAAATAAAGAAAGTGTCATGATAAATCAAAATAAATGGAAATGTTGGTGTATGTTAGTAATGTTGAATTTTGTTGTCAGAAACTCCATAGAGCTAAAACTGTGTGACCCATGTTCTCCTCTGTCTAAGACTGTGCGTTCGGCAGCCTGCCTCTCTGCACTGTCTGTGGTGCAATGAAAGCACAGCTCCACACGGTGTCAGGCTTAACTTTCACACACTGACCCCACCACCCCATCATGTCTGTGTCAGGTCAATTTGTAATGTACTGAATGAAGTTGTAACCTCTTCTTTGGCGATGCGCATATGGTCTTTGACCCCGGAGAAGATGGTGGGTTGAATGAAGAGGCTCTTCTCGCCCACAGCTGCTCCTCCACACTCCAGCTTGGCTCCCTCCTTCTTCCCACTCTCAATCAGATCCATAATCTTGTCAAACTGCTGTCGGTCGATCTGCAGCCAGCGTCACACAGACAAGACAAGGGAAGGAGATAGTTGAATAACCTGGGCACGGTTTACTGTACTTGAACAAAGTCAAGTGATAAACTAAGATTAATATCAGTGTCACTTATGTTGGTCCAGTTGAACTGTTCTTGAGTGATGGTCAAGTGATGTAAAATGTCCATAGAGTAAAGTGGGCCTTTCGCACTAAAAGACACCTAGTGTCTAGTATTTCAATACTAGACTTGAGTTGATATTTATATAACAACAATGTATGCATCAAATGGCAATGACAGAATCAGAGGCGTGATGTGTGACACATCTGTCCCACTCTACCTTTTACACAGATGTTGATCCAGCTCTGTGACGACTTCCATTGCCGGCTTAAAGATGCAACAAAAATACCCCAAAAAATATATTCTATAGTATTCTATGATGCTGGTTGCGTGTTCCTACCTGTGGCCCTTGTGATGTCTGGGGGTCCAGCGGGTCTCCTACGACAATCTTCTTTGCCTTTTCGATGCTGCAGCGCACAAACTCGTCATGAATACTTTCCTCCACAAAGACACGTGATGCAGCCGTGCAGCACTGACCCTGGTTATAAAAAGCTCCTTTCTGGGTTTCCTCCACAGCCAGCTGCACTGTAGACACACACACACACACACACACACACACACACACACACACACACACACACACACACACATTACACACATACACAGCAAAAAATAAGAATCACTCTAACATTTTGAGTGATGGTGAATTGATAAACCTAATTTATATTTTTGTATCTCTCCCTCTGCCTGCTTTGTCTACTTTGTCATTCCTACAGTCACTACCTCTGGTTAGTTAAGTTGTCCAACCCTGATTACCAGTCATGTCAGCATGGCTGGTATTTTTTTCCCCTTGTGAGTCTGTGTGTGTGTCGTCATGGCAAAATGTGGTCCTGCACCTACTGTAGCAGGCTGCAGTGATCCCATTGCAAGATGGTGTCTACTTAATCATCTTTATAACTTAAATCGTTCAGCAGCCAAAATTTAGACATACTGGATTTTGTGGCCAATATTTCTATTGCTATTTTTTCTCATTCTGGCACAGAGTGATGACGTCACCTTTCTTAATCCCACTTTCAAAGCTCTAACTGGCCTGTAATGGCTCTTTGCCGCCGCAGATTTCAGGTTGTTGGACCGTCATATTCTCGTAAACACAATATCTCAGGAACCCTGTAAGGAATTTTTTTCAAATTTGGTAGAAACGTTCACTTGGACTCAAACATTAACTAATTGTGGTGGTCAAAGGGCAAAGGTCAAGCTCACTGTGACCTCACAGAACACATTTTTCCCCATAGCTCTAGAATTCACATGGTAATTATGACACAATTTAACACAAATGTCTACAAGTATAAAATTATGTAATGATGATGTGCGTGGCCGCTTTAAATGACAGGTAGATGAGCCTATGTTTGCCAAGAACCAGCATGCACCGAAGTCTCAGCTCCACACACACCCCTCCTCTTTGCCCATTTTTGGATTAGCTGGGAGTTAGGGGCGGAATCAGACACTGCCAAGATGGCGATGGTGGAGCAGCTCACTCTGAGCTTCCTGTGGGTGATGTCATGGAGACTACGTCCATCTTTATTTACAGTCTATGGCCTGACCTCGCTATATCTCTAAAGACTCTTGATATGGGCAGTCAATCAGAGGTTTGGAACCAGGTCTTTAAGCCCTCTCATACTCAGTGCATTGATGACTCAGTGTGATCAATGATGTCTACAGACCTTTGCAGTATTTTAGTTGTCATGTGCAGACTGCGGGTGAACAAGTACACATACTGTGCTTTCAATATGAGAAAAGCTAAACTCTGGCAGCATTACATTTATCCCAAAACATGTTTCTACTCTGAAATAGTTCCATGTTAATGTATTTCAAACAACAACACGAAGTTGCTTCTACACTTCTATATTTAGCAAATAAAGCAGTAAACACCAACACACAAAACTGGAGCCGGGAATGTAAAGTAGATAGTTGTTTGATATTTTTAACAGGTGCTCTTTAAAGGATATGACAGCAGAGTGTTTATCAGCTCTGTGTTGTACTGTCCAGTTCACTTGGCTACAGTTTCCTCTGCTGCTGCTCTGTAATGACAGGTCTGTCAGCGGCACAGCAACTGAAACCTGGTGGCTTCTCTGCAGTGACCTGCTGATCCACCACTTAGCTGCAGTTTATATTTCATTGATGGTGTGACAGTCAGTGACATCTTCACCATACAGTATAGTTGTATGATGATAGCACAGGTGAAGCAATAGACTTGAAACGCTTCATAGTATTCAGTATTTTTGAGTAGTTAAGCGACAAAGTGAATTCAGAATTCTCTCTCACTAACACCTGTGGCTGCTCAGGTGTGATATAATCATACAGCAGGTCATGTGACTCTAACACATGCTGAAATGATAAAAATACAACAGTTTGATGTTGTGTTTCATTATTGAAGTGCGAGAGACACAGAGAGCAGCTTTACTCACAGTCACAGTCAGCAAACACAATGCAGGGGTTCTTCCCTCCCAGCTCCAGAGTCACTCTCTTCAGATTACTCTTGGCTGCCGCTTCTTTGATCAGCTGGCCTACCTGCAATCAGGAGTCATACCATAATGCATTATGGGTAATACTGGAAAAAAACAAAAAACTTAGTGACAGAACAGGAGAGTCTTCAGATGTGAGTGCTTGGACTGGGGTCTGAATTTTCCTCTTTTTGCTATAAGAAACTTTTAATGCTGATGAAATCATTAATTATATTTAATAAGACTTTGTGAAAAAGATTTCTTCAGATTAAAGAAAATCTTGTGTGATAAGAATTTCTTGAATTAAAAATAATCAGGGTCCATCTGCATAACGTTTTTCCTGTTACTGGACTTTGCCAAACAAATCTTTATGAGGAAACTCTATTTTAAAGCCACTTAACTTCAGATGATGACATTTTGTCTTGATAGTGTTTTTTTAATTCTAAGACTTACAATATGCTTTTTACACATCTTTGTAAATGACCTGACGGCAAATCAGGTTTTTATGTGCTAAAATTTAAGAAGTTACAGCTCAATAAAGCTGTACCATAATCAAAACTTGGAATAGAACATGTTACAGCATCTACAGTAGGTTGCATGTAAAAGTCCGCTGTTGGAACCTTTCAGAAAGTAAGGAAGTAGGACAAGGGAGGGACATGTTTTGTATTGTTTAGCATTAAAAACTATTTTATGTGGTCATTTTCCTGACCTTGTTTAAGTTATAACTCACCAACACAACCAACTCTGAACAAATAGTTTTATTACACAGGCAAATATTTACTTTATTGTTTTATACTGAAACTTGTTTTGCTTAAGAAAAAACAAAGAAATTGTCAGATCTTGTTAAAAGTAGCACAGCACCATTCAGATGGCTGCTGGACTATATGTCAAAACCAAAGTATTTGGGGCTATTTATCTTTCATTCGTTTGTCAAAATGATGATTAACATAGATTCACATACCTCTGTAGAGCCAGTGAACGCCACTTTGTCAACGTCCATGTGGCTGGCGATGGCTGCTCCTGCTGTGGGACCAAACCCTGGAACGATGTTCACAACTCCAGGAGGGAAACCCGCCTGAAACACAGAGAGCATGTTAGTGATGGGAATCACCAGAGATTTAATGTCCCAAATAGTAACAGAACAGAGCGATAAAAAAGCTGTTTCTGGTTAAACAAGGATCTTACTCTATAACAAAAAGATTTATCTCTGTAGGAATCCTAATATTAATTATGTCAGACACTTACAATACCAATGTCAATCTGTCTGTGGGAAAAACAAGCACTTACAGTGGACGTACTTTGACACGGATCATACACCCTGTTGCAGCAGCTGTTCAGCAATAAGCAAAAGTTGTTCCTCAGTAGTGGACCATTGCAAAGATTTTCAATCACTTACACTCAAAAATATGGAGAAATTAAAAAAATACCAGTGTTACCCTTTACGTTACAGTGTGAGTTGATCTCTCAGGGACACCATACTTAGATGTACATGTTCTAAAAGCCACTCTTGTTCTCAGGTTCATTACTGCCAATGCTTATAACGTCATTGCATCCTGTACAGAAAGGTTGGCTGGTTTGAATATGTATTTGTTTATTTACAAGGCCCTTATTGGAAAGCTGCCTTCATATCTTACATCGATGCTTGTCTGGTCCATTGGACCACATGGCACCAGGACTAATGACTGGCTAGCGCTCCATGCCCCTTGAGTTCAAACTGAACATGGAATAACTGCTTTTGGCTTCTTTGCATCATCCAGTTGGAACTCACTACAAAACACTTAAAAAATCAATTAGCTGGTGCCTTTTGGTCATTTCAAATCCATAATCTCCAACCTTTTAACTTCTTTCTATAATTGATTTTGTTGTTGCATTATTTATTCATTGAATTTATGTTTGTTTTAATTGATTGTTTTTCTTTTATCGTTATCATTTTGTACCTACTCAACATCACTGTAAATGAAGTCATCGCCATAAATGATTTTCAAGTTTAAATAAAGACATAAAATAACTGTAACATATTGATATTTCTAATTTTAGTATTTCTCTACAACAACAGATCAGCAGGGCAGTAGCTTCCACTGAGGAGACTGAAGTCATGACTTCTGAACTTGGGAATTTCAGGGACGGATGTGTAAAGTTAAAATTCTACAACTAAAACTTATGCATTGTAACAATTTTACAGGCTGAATCCTGTTTTTCATATTTAAGCATTACTTCCTCTAGCCAACAACAACAACAGATTATAAATGATTAGTATAAAGGAATCAGTATTTCTCCATCCAGATGTTATCCAGTGTGGATTCAGTCTGAAATGAATAGATGAGACTTAAGCCTAAATCTGAACGTTATATGTGTAGAACAAGTTTTACAGATGATGGATGGATTGGATTAAAAAACCTGTGAAAATGACGACTACCACTGCAACAGTCAAATCAATCCTTTCTTAAACTGTAATTATGGCTGGGGAAGTTCAAAGGCCTTTGGGAGTCTCCCAGCCTCACTTTAGAAACCACAGTTGAGTAGTCAGGTCCAGACTGTCTCCCCTGCTAGGTACAGTCACTACCAATACATAACAGCACCAGAGCAGGCAAATCACTCAGAAACAGGATTTTCTATAAGAGCACAGGCCAAGAATCTGAGGACTATCAGAGGTTTAAAGTCTAAACCTGTCTTAGCCCACAGCTTGGATCAATCCCACTGTACATGTTGAGCCTAACATCAGACCTCTTTGATGAGCGATCCAACATGGAGGGCTGTGAGGGGGGTCTGCTCTGCTGGCTTGATGACCACTGTGTTTCCACAGCTCAGGGCCGGAGCTATCTTCCATGTGAACATCAGCAGAGGAAAATTCCACTAGAACAGACAAAAGAACAAATGTTAGCTGGGACATTTTAAATGTGTGGTACAGGAGGCCATATCATGGGTCACATGTACAACATCAGGATATACAATGTTATTTTTTAGAAAATTAGTGGGATTAGTGGGTGGTTACGGCTATAAATTAGGTATAAAAAATACTATGAACCCCTAGTAGTATTGAAATAATTGTGGCAAATTTATTCAGGGATCTTTAGCTGGTAGTTAGGGGCGGATTCAGACACTGCCGAGATGGCGATGGTGGAGCAGCTCACTCTTTATATACAGTCTATGAGTTACACACATTCACATCAGAAAGCTACCAGGTCCAACAACAGTCTGAGCAGCCCCAATGGGGCAGTTAGCGTTAGGGCCTTGCTCAAGGGCACCTCAGTAGTAAGCGCTGCTTTTCCACTTTCCCTGTTTAGATTTATTCTGCCAGTCCAGGAATTGAATCTGCGACCTTATGGGGCACCTAACAAGCCTGCTTCATTGACCTTTAGGCCACCGCTGCCCCTTATTTGCCCAGTGGTGCAGGCATTGTACCAGAATGTGGTGGTGAGGAGAGAGCCACCAGTTTACCATGATCCAATCCTCACTTCAGGTCATGAGCTCTGGGAAGTGAAAAGGTGTGAGGAGTCTGGACATCCAGAAGGAGCCTGGAGTAGAAACCCCCGCTCTCTCCCCTTGAGAGAGATTGAGGTGATTCTGATAAGGACACCTCCTGGACAAATTCCTTTAGAGGTTTCTTGGGAGGAGACCCTGAACACGTCGAAGGGATTACCTATCCAATCTGACCTGAGAACACTTTAGGAGGAACATCTTGGTTACCTTGCATACCTTGTTGCAACCGCTACCTGGGAATGGATAGGCAGAGGAAGTTGGATGGATGGATTAATGATTGATGATTATATTACCACAGACCAATTGCTTTACAGTGAACCTGACTTTAGGGTGCCCTTGGAATGGTAAATGGATTGCACTTTTCTATGGTTTTTCTAATCTTATTGACCACTCAAAGCGCTTTACACTAAAAGCCACATTCACCCATTCACAAGCACATTCATAAACACACTCATACACAGATGGAACAGCCATCAGAGGCAATTTGGGGTTCAGTCTCTTGTCCAAGGACACTTCGACATGCGGACTGGAGGTGCTGGGGTCAAACCACCAACCTTCTGATTAGTGGATGACCCACTCTACCTCCTGAGCGACAGCCACCCTGAAAGCGCTGCATAGTTTCCTGCTTTGTTCGTTTGTAAATCCAGCCTCCCATATGTGGAAAACTTAAACAAAGCAACAGGCAGGTGTCATGCTGTGTATTTTGTGTACACAGAGTTTTTTTTTTTTTAATGACCTGCTGCACTTATTAAAGTTTTGATGTAAACAGTAGCTTAGTTTTGTGACTCCGTTATAATCCATCACTGCAGCGGTCTCCAATGGAAATAATAACGGCGACAAATAATCCAAGAAACACACACATCATCAGTACTTTGGTTTTCCCAGTTAAATCCACTTTATCACTTGGATGTTGGTGGAGAGAATATACAAGACAATAAAAAGAGCTCTAAAGCATCAGGACTGGAGATGATTCAAAGTAAACAAATTCCGAAAAAGAGGTAATTTATTTTCCAGTTGCTCGTTTCCATGTTGGAAACCAATGGACAAATAATTGGGCACTCAAACCCAAATTAGACAGCAATATATGTGAGTGCTGCATGTTTATTGTTTAGGCATTGTTAACTTTTACAACACTTTGGAAACACTCAGCACCATTAAGGGATCTTGGGATCACAAGTCGGGAGAAAGGTTTCCTGTTTTCCTCTGACAATGACTCATGCGGCGTGTGTGCCAACAGTACTTTCAGTAATTACACAACGTTCTTCAGTATAAATTTCACTTTTATGATATAATCTCCCATGTCAAACAACAGCCGTTTTGTTCCTTTGTTGCCAAAGCAACATTAGAGGTTACAGGCTTATGCTCAAATATAAAAACTGAATGGCTGTATTCTGTCATGATGTTGAAATTATACTCGTGTGTCTGTCTGGATCTACGACAAAGTGAAACGTGATACCGCAAAACACCAAACACTGCCCCACCCTAAATCTGATGAAGTTATTATCAAAAGAAAAAAAAAACATATATTCCAATGTGTGAAAGTAAATCCAAGCAGCACAGGATTGTTTCTGTGTGTTCCTGTAAGAACAGCCCTGAAGGGATTAGCGGAGAGGAGGTCTTGTTTAGGGAGAGCAAAGATTAAGATAAGGTTTCTGGTACACACGGTTTCATTTCATCCTCACGTCCAGACAGTGCTGTTAAATGAGTGCAGTTGCCTTACCAGCACTACACATTTATGATTAGTGCTTTTCTGGAAAGTTAGGGTCAGTCTGTAGTGGTTCCAATTAAGACTTAATATAGTTCCAGGAAAGCCAGAGATGTTAGCAGTGTATATAATAGAGCCATTCACTTAAGAACTATAACCTGCTGACATTTAAGGGCCCTCCTGCGTTAAAAGAACAGATAGGGAAATACACTTGCATCCATGCAGTGTCAGATGAGTTTTTCTCTGAGTTCAGTACATGAATCGAGTAATACAGCTGGATATAGCGCAGCAAATCAGCCGTGATGCTAATTTGTCCCAGTGGACAACTGTGGTACAGCAACACAGAAATCCTTTGCAACCCAAAAAAAGAATTTTCCACATAGATGTCTGTAAACTCCAGACAGCACACCTCAAACTGCGCACAAGGTCACTTATAATTTAATACTGTATATGCAAAAGTTTCTCCAAGGCAAAAGAAACATAAAATTTCTTTGAGTATGAGGTCATTCCAATAGAGGCAAGGGAGTAGAGACTCTCGTGAACATATGCATTGCACAGAGCTGAGCAAACAAGGAAGAGACAAGCATTTTTTTCAAATGCAATTGAATGCATGTGTGCCATCTTTGAGCCTGCACTGGGTCGGGTAACAAACATAAAATATATAAAAATATATTTATATTAATTCAAAGGTAGAGGTCAAGGATAAATGTAAAAATGAACTGAATAAATATGAGAACGAAATTAAAAGCCAACAGATAAATAAAGAGTCATTTTATGAAGCCTAAAGCTGCCATGATTGATTTTGTTGTGTATCTCTCATTTCATCATCATTCAGAACTGAGACTGCAGCTACCTGATGGACCCAATGGACCAAAGGGTAAGTTGATTGACCAGTCACCACTTATTAAAAGATGGTACCCCTGCTTAAAGAACAGAGTAGATGTGGGATCCCAACATATCACTGATGTGTGAAAGGTAAAATAAAGCTCAGAACTACTGTAAATACGCTCATTGTAGTGTTTTGACCTAAAGCATGACTATTATTCAGGGTGTCATCATCATGTACCAGTCTAACATTAAGTGTTTGTCATCAGAGGGTACATACGAGGCTCTGTGTGGATGTCCATGCACCTTCCAATTTGGTGTGTCTGTGCTGATTTGTTCGCTCAAATGTGCACGTTAGCGAGGGAGTATCGAGGCCTTAGCTCTATTATGAAACACTTCACTGAGGTACTTGTGGCTAGCTAGCCATGTAGCCATCTGTGTTGAGCTAAACAGCTACAGTAACTTTTGAGGCTGTTTAAAGTTTAGTGTCCTTTACATTAATATAAGAATCTGAAAATATGGACATGATCATACATTTGTCCTTTCTCCTCATAGTCATTGCCCCTATAATTATCAAATTCTTAAATAATGGGAAAAAAGAGTTATTTTTCATTTTTTGGCTGCCGGGCAAGTGAAAAAATATAAGGGGGCCAGTAAAACATTTTTTCCCACTGGCCTTTGGAAACTGGGACAGATGATTTATTTCAAAATCAGTAATCTTTGTGTCAGTTTGCTTTATATCAACAAGTGAGAGCTGATTGATACAATCTGGATGTTTTAAAGTGAGTGGCTGTGTGGGTTAATTAACATTACAGGTTTGGGTTGGTAGACTGGTATTATCAGGGTTGGGTTCAAATTTGATTTAAAGATAATTGCAGGAAATGGGTCAGTTCTGGTACTGAGCTTAGCAGGTTTGCAAAACTGGACCTGTGCAGGACTCTGTCTTGGAGTACTGTGTCTAGTTCTAATAAATCCATGGTCCAGTACAAAGATAGGTCTGGAATGTGCTTTGTCTGGCTTAAAATAATGGTAATAAGGGGAAACCGATGACAAAATCAATTGTCTTCCAAAATGAATATCAGGTTTTTGTCTGCCACTTCTATGGTGAAGGTTTAGTTTGGTTTAGGATTAGAAAATGATCACAGACATGGTTACAATCAAACCAATGTTGACTGTTCATTAGAAACAAGATGTGATCAACATAAAAAATACACCTTCAGGCAACTCTGATGCTTTTATTTTCAAGGTTAGGACAGAGCACAAACCTGCCATAGTCACGGATCACAGCTGTTAAAACCACAATGTTTCACATGTGTTAAACAGACAAGACACAATGCGCGAATAAGACGGTTCTCACATTTGATTGAGCTTCGTGAATAATTTCTCTTTCTTAAAGTCTTTGTGCTAAGCTGAGTCTCCAGGACCAGCCCATGGATGTATTCAAAGATGGATTATGGATCCCAACATGGCAGTCCAGTCATTCCACTGAGAGCTGCATGTGCCAAAAAAAAAAGCTTCTCACATTTTTTAACCTAATGTTGCAAATTTTCAGATTTTAAAGAGTAACTCTGAACGTGTATCACAATCAGAATTTTTTCTCTTGGAATAGATGTGTACGGGAAAAGTTTTCCTGGGTCTCAGGGTGTCATGTGTCCGAGGCTGTGCCAACATTGCCACACAGCCCAGCTCTGCTCCTGGGGCTTGGCCCTATCTCTGTACTGATCTACAAGGATGAAACGGATATCCATATTCTCTGACTCTGGAGAAGACAGCAAACAGGAATAATGTTTTTCCCAGAATGTCAGAGCCTGCCTTTAACTCTCTGATGACATACTTAAAACACATGTATGATGTATGATTATTATCCATATGTGGATTTACAGTACAGTAAGCAGAGAGAAGTTGGCATCATGGCAGTGTGTTGGATTCTATTTCCTAAGGTTATAAAGTGGATTTTTAAAAGGGCTTATTAAGAAAGGATTGTATTACAGCAGAATCAGACATCCTGAGGTACCTTTTACTGGATGTCCACCGCAGAATAACAACACACACCTACGCACATTACATTAATTTCCTGCAGACTTACCATAAGCCTAACCATAAACACTTCTCACCTAACCCCAACCCATGGCCTTGTGGTAGGTAGTTATAACCAGTCAGTACCTGCAGTAGATTTTGATTGTGTAGGAATACAGTAGTGCAACGGTTGAGAAAATGTAGTTCCAAAGTAAAAGGCTGTTTGACGGCAAGATAAAGCAGTGAAAATATTCAAGTGTACACTTGAACTGATACTGTTTTTTTTCGGTGGGTATTTTCACACAACCTCACGTCAAAATAGCCCGAACCATCACTTAAACCTAAACCTGAACTTACCACCAGACTTCATCCTGAAATGTCATGATTTACATTATGAGGACTTGAGTCAAGTCAAGTCCCAACAATGTGTAAACAGATTTATGTCCCCACAACATGAGTGATACAGGCCCAAACACACACACACACACACACACACACACACACACACACACACACACAGTAATGAACAGTAATGAGATTTCCTATTATACAATATAGTTGACTTACAGGGATGATGGCTCCACATACACCAACAGGCTCATGTTTAGTTAAACACATGAAGCTTTCATCTGAAAAAAAAAAATGAAAAAAAAAACAGCACAGTCAGTTTGATACACTACATTGTAAGTTTCACACTGAGAGAAGACTCAGGGGTGTGCTCTCTTTCACCTGTTACTAGAACCAACAGTGATGTCATGGAGTCCTGGAGTACACTTGTACAGCAGCAGGTGGAAAGTCAAACCACTTGAGGTCAACAAAAAAAATTCTGTAAGTAATCCTAAAACCACATATGTTGGCATTCAAATGACGAAGCCCTCTAGCTGCCACAGGAATTATGATGAAAGAGGTCATGTAACGTCATTGTAGAGTCACAGTCTGCACGGGCAGGAGGTTTGATGCGGATGGGTCAAGAAAATGTTGGAAACATGTTACTCTGCTCTCTTTCCATTTCCAAACACCTGCCAGCTTTGTTTTGTTTTTAAAAAAAAACATGACCACTGTCGTCCATTAACCTTGACCAGGTCTTTATCACTGTAACCATGATGAGAAAGGTTTCCTAACCTGAACTAAGAAGTCATTTTAACCCAAACCTCAACTATAGTACTGTGCCATCATAAAATGGATTTATTTCAAATGTGATTTATGTTTTGGAAGGAAGAGATAGATGACATCATTCTGCTGATAGATCAGGTCAGAAAACACTTCTGTTTCTCATTGTGTGTCATTTTAAGGTCCATATAGTCTAAAGGTAGATGTCCATATGTTGTCTGATTATAGATCAGGTCTAGGTTCTATATTAATACCGTGAAAGTACCGAAGCGCTCAGTCCACAGAGAAATGCACACAGTCTGTATTCAGAAACTGAGCCTGGAAACAAGCTGTTAGGACTTCTGGAACTTTGTGATGTCACAACAAAGCAGTCACCACCCTCAGCCATGCCCCAAGCCCCGCCCACCTGGACCCACCATCCAACCTTGCAGGATTTGGTTTCTCTGTGTGTTTACCTGAAATCTGCTATATTTTTATTGGATCACTCAGAAAACAGTCAGCCAATCAGAGGAGAGGCTCAGAGCCTCCTCTCTTCTAATTGGCTCACTGACCTGTTGTTACTAGAGCTCCAGAGAGAAGCCTGAGAGAGGAGATATAAATGTACAAACAAATATATCTTCTTATGGATCAACACTTCAAATAACACTGGACAAGTGTAAAATATGGGACCTTTAATTTGAAGAACCTGTTGGCTCTTTCTTTAACTAAAGAATTTCACATGATGGTTGGAGTGAAAGGAAGAAAAGCAGGAAATGTGTAATAAAAAACAGTGAGTGTGTTTCTTAAAGAAAACCAAGTGAAATAAAGAAAAAAGTTGGGTAGGTTACCTACATTTTAAGCTTTTTAATAATCCGCATCATGTTTAAGTTTCCTTGACGTCACTGCTCGGTTCCACTGTGCTCTTTAACTTTTTTTAATTTCAAGTGCAGTATTTCTCTTGATTGTTGAGCTTTTTTTTACTTTAATCCTTTTAGACCCTCCCAACAATACTGATGGTGAGATCAACGCTGTACATGGACGTGTCAGAGGCTCAGCACCCTGACCTTCTCTAGTTTCCCGTGTGACTGATCACAGACTGGATGACTCCCCCCACAACGGGACTCATCTCGAGCCGCCTTTATCTTTGAGTCAGTGGGTGAGTGCATGTTCAACTGCGGCTCACTGAAGCTTACATTCACTCAAAGGCAAAGACCTGCTGAGAGGACCTGCTGTCAGGGTGTAACATAAGATTCACAAGAAGCCTGTCGACAATTAGTTTGTGTTCGTCAGCACTGAGGCTGATATACTGATATACTTAACCCACAGATTTCAGCGGGTTAATGTTTGTGGTCATTTATCCTGACTTTGGCCCCCAACCATTTTTATTATATATTATATGTATTATTGTATAATCATATTATATATTTATACTTAAGATGTGAATAACTGCTTGCGCAAAAAAATATTCTATAAGCTGATTCAGTAATTTTGGTTCTGTGTAAGAATGAGCACATAATAAAGTTCATCACGGGTGCATTTAGGACAAGTTTTTTACTTGGATAAACAATTTCCACCAGTACTGTCCTGGATGGCCTGATTTTTTTCTTCCTAATCTCCTGTTACTTGTCTGTTTGTCAGACAATAGTTTGAGTGCATTAAAGAGCTGTTAACAACAGACAAGTTTAATTAATTAATAAAGGAAAATTTAACACTGCTGGCTCTGAACCTAAAAGCTCATATTGGCAAAAACCTATAACTATAAATAATATTTATACCAAAGCCCCTGAGTATTTCAGATATCACCTGTGGTTTAATAACAACATAATACTGAGCTGCTTCTTTAGATTCTATGCCTTTGTGAACATTGAAATTATAAGTACCTTTCACAATAAGATGTATGTTTTACCACTTACTTTTTGCTGTTGTTGTTTTCTTGAAGGGATTTCACTGATGATGATAATGTTGGTGTTTGTTGTGTTGGTTTATTGGTAGTGGTTTGCAGTCACCTGGTCTCCTGTATATTTGCTCAGTTTCTGTGTCTTGGAGTTGTAACGTTCTCTTACATTTTCAAGTTGTGTGTAATTAAGTGTTCTGCTTTTCATAATGTTAAATAAACTAAAGTACTAAAAACTAAACTCTGATCTAGGTACTGCTACGCTTTAAGTGTGATCTAAGCTTATTCAGCTTGTGCAGAAATTTCAGTTTCTGTGAAACAGAAAATGAAAGCAGCCACTTATGTCTGCAGTCCTGGTGATTCAGCCACTGTCAGCACAACAAATTATTCTTCCCAGAAGAATCAATGAGATGAAAAGTGAAAATATTTCTTACCTATCTCTGGTGATGTCTAGTGGTAGGTTTGTTCAGCTCGCTGAGTCATTATTTATAACAGCGTTGACTGGAAATGTAGTGTTTTGTCTGTTCCGCTCTTAATTTGAAATTAGAGGAAGAAACCTGTCCAGGATGCTTAATAATTCTTTATATCTAGTGTTGTAGGAGGCTTGAGGTGGGGGGCACATTACTTACTTCTAAATGCAATGAACTAGTCACAAAATAGTGAGCAAACACAGGATGAAGGAGAAGATTTTGATCATTATTGACGATTTATATTCTTCCTTCATCCAGTAAAATGGTTATTTTGGCTTCACATGCATGAAATGAAACCAAAACTATAGAGCAGAGTCTACAGTCCACAGTGTGTATTTAGCCGACAATTGCGCACTTTTGATATCAAACAATTCTGTCTTATCTTGATGACTGGTGGTGAGACTACTCCAGCATAACAGTGCAGGTTACCGGCTGAGCGGCTGCGGCTTTGGCGAGGCGTTGAGCCAACGCTGATTGCTAATCCTCACAGACTGTTGCACCTCACTGATCACTATCTCTGCCTCTTCCTCTTCCCTTTGTCCCGCCACACCGTTTGTCTCTCACCACTCTATTGGGATCTAATCAGGAGGAAAAGGCAAGCGTGTTTTGTCTATCTGCTGTCCTGCAGAGGCAGAGGAGACGCAAAGTAGGCTCTGACAGGAGGGGGAAGTATTAAGAGGCTGAATGAGATACCACCCAGGGCTGAGGGCAATCCTGAGCCAGGCCAAGTCACTCGCTCTGTAGTAATTAACCTGTTTCCCGATGGTCATGGATTCCCTGGCATGCGCAAAAACTGCCCTGTCGCTTCTGTGGAACTCATCTTGTGCACTACTAATTATAATGTAACCTCTTAATTACCTTATTTAATCATGTGTAAAAATGTTGCATTAGTTTGTATGGAGCTCATTTAAAAAAAAAATGTGCACACAAATTAAATTGTGAGGCCAAATTATTCATGTATACTCTCATATGTATGACGGAATAAATAAATGAATAAATTAATTGAGTAATTAAAAGCTCCTTAACAAAAAAACACTCTTTACTCCTCCCTACATGACTGGACCGGACACCTTTAACTTCACTTAGTGCTGCAACATTAATATAACAGTAATCTGACAACACAAATTAATCAACTTGTGATGTCGGGAATTAATTAATTCAGGAGAACAAATCACTAATTTGTGTGCATGTTTTCTTAATTTGAGAGCACAAATTCATTCTATCATATTAATGTCAAATTAGTGCAACAGCAAAAAAAAAAAAAAAAATCACCTGACACCCATTAAGCTCTGCAACTGCAGTGGCTGGTTTTTACTATAAATGATGTTGTGATGTGGGAATTGTGTTTGAGACACAATCTGGAAATTGCATTACAAACTATGTTGTGCACCACAAACTGTCAAAAGGCTGTTTTTTCAGTCTCATGTGCATCTGATGCAAATATTTTAAACAATACATCTGTTTAAACAGATAAAGGCTCAGGTTTCACTCATTCATACTTTATAACTGTGAACCCCGAGGCTCCAGGTTTCAAGTCTAGTCAAGTATTTTTTCAGATTTACATGCGCAGCTACGGTGATTGTAAATTGAGCTCTCAGTGGCTGCAGGTTGAATCACATTGGTCACATTGTTGAATCCCTGACAGTTAAAAGAAGATGAGGCTCACACTCACCTACAGGCAGACTCTTGCCGTGGATCTTGTCGGCCCAGCCTGCGTAGTAACGAAGGGTTTTGATGCTGCCGTCCAGGTCAATGAAGAAGGACTGGAGGAAGGGCTTCCCTGTGTCCAGAGTCTCCAGGGTCTGAGTAATCAGGAAAAGTCGATTTGTCACCTTGACTGTAAATAAAAATTCTTCAGGATAATTGCTTTGACTTAATAATAATTAATTATAGTTTATTAAAACTTGGATCTTATTTCTGTAGTTTTCACTATTATTCCTCTCAGTAATAACCGCATTTTTCCTCATAACAAAGATTTGAATCATTTTAGGGGCATGAAGAGGCAAAAGTATACACTGTTTTACAAGAACTAAATATTAGAGAAAAGTCCAAAATAAATAAACCACCAGGGTGGAAACCATTGTTGGAAACAAACTCCCAAGTTAGTAAAAGTTATTTGCAACAGTGCAATTATTACACAAAGTCTCTGTTATAAATGTCCATCACAGTCTGCCATCTACTTCATACTTTAATTTTGACCTTCTGTGCTCACTGTAGCTGAACACACTGATAAGCATCAGTTTGACTGTGACTTTCAAATGAAGTGATTTAGATCATCAGGATAAACTGTCGCCTTGTTTCCAATCTCTCTGACCATCTGACTGCTCGGACTACACTGCAGTGATGTGTTACAGATCTCACCGATTACCTCGGGGAGTTAGTGTTATCATGTGATTGAAATGTTGCACCACAAAACCACAGAAATAAGAGCAAAAAATTGTAATAAACAAGAGTAATCTTAAAATAAATATCTATAATCTTTGCTACCTCCCAGGCCTGTTCTTGCACAGTGCAAGTCGCCCATAAAGTTACTGCTGGCCATCGGCAAACAGTTTTATTACCAGGAATTTAATATGATGTTATGCTTGTTGTTTCCAGATATAATAATAATAATTACTATAATAATGGTGAATTAATTTAGGGCCTAACAAAAGCAGGGAGTTGTATGAGCCTGAAATAGCTGGCGAGGTCATTTCTCTGCGGAGCCAAGGGTGGTGCAGTGGGATGTGGGCCACAGTGGTCCACTGCAGTGTACAGTGTCTTGGTAAATACATGGCAATAAGCCGAGCAAAGCAAAACTGAATTCATAATTGATTATGGTATACAATAATGATGTCTGAATGTGTCAGACATGAGTCATGCTGTATTGTGAACCCGCTCCTTTCTGACATATATACCATGTTTACTGGAGTTAGTTTTATTGTGAAAGGAAAAATAAGAAAGTGAAACTCTGTGGCTTAAGTAGACACTGAAACCACTGTACCGCTTTACTGTACCTTTAAATGGCCCGAATCTGGACCTTATTTCCTCAAACATAGCTGGGAGTTTAGTGTAATTAGCCATACCCTGCACACTACCACTCCAGAGCATGTTTGCAATTAGCAGTCACATGCAATCTGGTATTATTACTTCACTCACATCTGTAAGGGTTCATTTACAGATCTGAGTCTTACTGCAAGCTGGCAGCTAAACAGAGTGAACAAGGCACAGCAACGGGGATTTCAGTCCAAACAATATCTGAAAGAGAGGCAGAGTAACATCCAGCAGTCATTACAAAGAGACAGAGAGAGAGAGAGAGAGAGAGAGACCGGGGTGGGGCCACCGTGTCATGATGTCATGCAATAATATAGGCCAGTCCCTGATATGAGTAAGTCAATGTCATGACAGCACATGGACAGCTGCAGGAAAATCCCATAGATGTGTTGCTTATGAAACAGTGCTTGTTTCAATTGAGATCTATTGTTATGAATAATATCTGACACAAACACTAGAGAAGGAAAGTGCAGACTGCAGTTATTGTCATCCAGTAGAAACATATAGAATACAGCCTGAGCGGTACACTGCAGGGACTGGTCATTGTCTAGCTGCACGGTGTCTGTCCTGATCTGACAATGAGTTTATTCTTTCTAGAGAGAAATGAGCAGTGTTGGGGAAAAAAAACTTGTCACCACTACATTTACTAAAGTTCTGCCTGAATACAGTTTTAATGTTCACGTACTGATTATTTCTATTTTATGCTACTCAATGCTATTTCTACTTCAGTACATTTCAGATGGAGACGGTTTATACGTTGCCTGTCTTTACTCTAGCTTCATCTTCATTATTTCACACAAATCAAAATAAAATACACGTAAAAAAACTGGGACACCCCAGTAAGCTTCAGAAGCTTGTGAAATACAGTAAAATACAGTTTCAGCAACAAAATACCTAAATTCTAATACCTGATACTTACAACCCTAAAAAGAAAAACTGAATGGTCCAAAAACATCTGTCCCATCTGTCCAAACATTAATTCAATAGGCAGGATACACAATCAGGAATAAATGTGCCTAGTTACTCAGTTGATTATGACTAAAAAAAAAATCAGTAATGAAACATCTCCACTTAGAGGTAATACAACATTTAAATGCTGATGCATCAGTAATAACAATCAAATAGACACAGGGGTCAGGCTGCTACACATGTTGCTTGTAATGCTCCTGTAATGAAAGTCTTTGACTGAAGTGCTATCTCACCGGTGTGAATACGTTTTCAGCTACTGGGAACCAGGGCAGGGAAAGTAGCCTGAGCTGTGTATCATGGTGAGACAGAAATACGTTGTCACTGTGACATTGACCAACTCATAATATCTAGCAATGTGCCATGTAATATAAATACATTGTTTTATGTTTTGCAAGTTAAATTTTGTAATTAATCAATGATTACTTTTAAATCAGTGTAATGAGGCCCAGTAATGAAGAATGTTTTAATGAACTTATTTATCTTCCAGATCTGTAAAAAGACCAATTCAAACTCCACCTGTAAATCTTGAACTGTAAACGTCCATCATGAGGAAACATCAAGCACTACTTTTTCATTGTAGTAAAAAGTGATTGAGGTGACTGTATGTGGAGTTGAGCAGTTTGATTCAGACACGTTGGTCGCCTTGGAAACATTAAATCTGCAATGGACCAGGAGAAATGAACCCACCGCCAGCAGGAGCCGGTCCCTCTCCATCAGGTCGGCCAGTTTGTGCAGCAACATCCCCCGGCTGGACGCGTCCATTCTCCGCCACACAGAGCCCCTCTGCACGGCCGTCTTGGCTGCCTCCACCGCCTTATCCACATCTTCCTGCACAGACACGAAGAGTCTACTTTATCAAGATACAGCACATGTCCACACAATGACTTCTCCCAATGCTTTCATGGCCAGTTTTCAACTCTTACTCGGGCCTAAATTGGAAGAGTAGTGGTGGTAATTTTTTTTTTTTTTTAATTTAAGTCCCCACGTTACCTTGTCCCGCAGTAAAAAAGCAGTTAAAAGGAAAATAAAATCATTATTTATTTCAATTATTCCACAGACATCTCCACTAACAGACATAAAACATTAAATTAACAAATGTTTAAATGAAGTTTGGCAGGAGAAGATTTAGAGCCAAAGCTCTATTATCATTATCATTATTATTATTATTATTATTATTATTATCATTATTATTATTATTAGCCTATTGTTAAATAAAATAATTAATGCCTTCTCACTTTGTCTGCTTCCTCCACATCACAGATCTTGACACCTGTCGCTGGGTTGAAGGTGGGGAACGTCCTCCCTGTGCGGGATGTGTGCCACTCATTGTCGATGAAAATCTGTGGAGAGTGGACAGTGTTTGTCTCAGCTGACACCTGACACATGATTTCTAACATCACCACAGTTAAAAACACACACACACACACACACACACACACACACACACACACAAACAGGGACTGTCCTGTCTCTGACCCAGCCTGGACTCTTACCTTGGAGTGTCTGATGTCCTGGACCTTGGCGGGCTGAGGCAGAGCTGGGATTCCTTCACTCACTCCGTTCTCTGTTATTCCGTTCTGAGCCATTCTAGGTCAGTGCTCTGACTGCTCCGTGTACCCAACAGTGTCAACTCTTCCACTGGCTTTTTATAAGAACGTGGGACTCCTCCCTCCCTCAAACAGCGGTTGAGGAGAGCCCGACTCCGCCCCTATCAAATATCAAGGGCCCTTATCTGAGGGGAATCTTGTTTTCGCAGCACCTTGGAAACATCCTGCAACATGTATCATGTGTATTACTAATGCTATGTAAATAGTGTGGAAGAAGGGGCGTAGGATTACTTCATGTTACCTTCTTCCTTATTCACTGATGAGCCAAAACATTATGACCACCTTATGTGTTATAACTTGCTGCTGGTCCTCCACCCGTCAGGAACTCCAACAAACCTCTGAAGGTGCCCTGGTATCTACAGCAGCTCATCCTTTCAGCTCCATGGAGCCGTCAAGGATCATGCTTGTAACTGCCCTGCAACTGCTCGTCATGAGGATGTTGAATAAAATCAGTGCATTTTAATTTTCATAATGTGTGTGTGTGTGTGTGTGTGTGTGTGTGAGAGAGAGAGAGAGAGAGACCTTTCAAATAGCAAAGGGAGAGTCAAGAGTAAAAATTTCACAGCTGAGTTATTTGGCCGTGTCCACTAGTCCAGGCAATGAAAGCAATTAGACTGAATTCATTCTGCTGCACAATATTTACATCGCAACACTGCAGCTTTGATCTGCTGCTGTCGGCCTACTTGGACTGACTGCGGCCCGTTCATCAGCCTTGCAAAGGTGTTATCAGTTGTGATGTTCCTCGCAAAGTTGGTTTTTGCACCTGGGCCTGGTGAAGTTGAATGGAGCTGAACACATGCAAACAAATGCTTTTGTTCTTGGGGACAAAGCTGCTTGCTTGCTCCAGACTTGCACTCATACACAGTCTGCTATTGTTTCCCCTTCATCGCTTCTTGTCACTCTTTATGTCAAAGTTTAATTAGGACAACGAGCTTTCACAGGCTCATTTCTCACTTCAGCAAGTTTCTAACACTTTATAATGAGAGAGAGAGACTCAAAGGGATTGACTGAAAGGAGGGAGAGACCCAGAGAGAGAGAGAGAGAGCGAGGGAGGATAAGATGTGTGTGTGTGTGTGTGTGTGTGTGGTGGGGGCAATATGAAATGCAAAACATGGGCCCAGACCCATGCAAATAATCAGGAACCTGCTCTGGAGGGGATGAGCTGCTTTTCTCAAACAGCTGAGGGATTGAGACCAGAGGTATCTGTCCGTTAAAGTGATGTTTCTAAATACTACTGAGGATGTAAATCTTTAAAAATGCTTTGACAATATATAGTTTCATTAAAAAAAGGCTCAGTTATTTCCTGAAACAATCAGAGTATTTATTATCAAACGTCGCTCAAACAGGAGGAAGTAGTGCACTGTGTAGTGGTGCTGCAGGAAGGTGTGTGTGAGGAATAGAGTATAAAGAAACTACAGTGTATGTGTGTGTGTGTGTGTGTGTGTGTGTGTGTGTGTGTGTGTGTGTGTGTGTGTGTGTGTGCGTGTGTTCATGGCAATGAAGGAATAGGGGGCCCGGTGCGACAGAGTGGCTTAGTTAGTGGGATTCATTCAAAGTTGGTTTGAATATAAGGAAATACAGAACAAGAGAAAATTTACTTTAAAAAAAGTTATTTTTTGTTTGACGAGGCCTGAAGAATGAAAATTGGAATAAATCCAGTTTCATTTCTGGAGCTGACCGTTGCACATTGTGCAAACAGAAACTAGGAAATAAGTATGTGATCACTCTCTGAGCACGGATTTCTACTGTATATAACACTGTATAAAACTCCTCTGCCTGAGTGAGAGTTGGGAGAGCATCCTGTCGTGGGAAAGGGGAGTCAGGTGACCTCTTCTTCCAGGCTTGGCTGCTCAGGCTAATTGGCACTGCACACCTTCTAATGATGGTCAAGTGTTCTCCCATCAGCAGGCTTCAAGGCCAATTAGAATCACTACCCAGATAGCTAATTGCAGCATTATGTCTTGTTAAGAATTTGTTATTGGTTAAGTAGCATTTTGCAAAGACACAGGCTCATTTAACATTTGTTTCAGCCACAGCTCTCAGTTTAGGAGGATGTAATGAAACTAGAGACAAAATCAAAGAAAGCTGAAGCGAGAAAACTGTGAACCAGCAAATCAAAGCAAAGGGGTATTATACATGAAGGTAAATTACATGATAGAATTTTATTGTATCAAGAACTGATTGAGTGGAAGTGTATGTATTTTTCACATGCAGTATGATCATGTGACTAAACTTCATGTGGTTCAATATAAGAGACAATATTAAAACAAAGAAGAAAATCAAATCTTCACAACATTAAAGTAAAACAACAAACAAGTTGGACAAAATTACATATCAAACTATTATATAAAATATAATGACAGATAATAAAATATAATGCAGACCCTGTGATTCAACCATTGTTTATTGAGGGAAGATTGACTGAGCATTAAGCTAGACAGATACACAATATATGATAACAACCGCATTGCTAATAATAATAATAATAATAATAATAATAATAATAATAATAATAATAATAATAATAATAATAATAATAATAATAATAGGATCATGAAAATGTCTGACAAGAATGAAAACAAATAAATAACAAAGAAGTCTGCTGAGAAGGATAGACAAGAACAACAATAAAAACTAGAAAATAAAAACACTAAATAACAACCATGTCAATGAATCAACCAAAGCTGGAAGACTGTACAACGACCATGGGACCACAGGATTAAAAGGACCTACTGACACAAACCTGTTTCTGTCTTGTAATTTGTTTCACTTATTTGGTACAAATTACCCAAGTTCATTATTCATCTGAGGGGATACAAATTCCTGTGAGTATGTTTGATTACAAGTGGTTCTGAGTCTTAAAAGAGAAGTGAGGTAGAAGGAGCCCAACAATGTCTTATACACAAAGATGAAGAGACCGTGTCTTTCCCCTCCGTCACTGAGGGAAAACCATCCTACCTTCTGCTACAGTTCACAGTGATGAGCTCCGAAACCATACTCGTAATAAAACATAAGGAACTGTGGTGAACTTATAGTCTCAGTGTAAATGGGGTTGCATGCATTTGCACATTATCATCATAATCTGACACTGACATTATAGTTTTCCAAAGAGAAGCATAAATGGATCCTGTACAGTGCACCCAGTTTAATTTCACCTTCTGTGTTTTAAGTTTAATACAGTATATAAATAGACAGTGTATATAGTCAATGCAGGTGAATATGACATAGGGGACAAACCAGGGAAAGATTATAAATAAAAATAATAACAATAATAACCAAAAACAAATCAAAAAACGTTGTCATATATGTATATATTATATAATTATTATAACACCTGCAAGCCATAACAACAAATGTCAATATTTAATTTTTGAGCTTATAGTTTGATGTGGTGTTTTACTGTCATATTTTTGCTCATGCATAAAACAATAATAATATAATACACAATATAATACACTCTGGTACAACACCAAGACAAAGTACAGCCACAACAATAAAACTGAGTGTATTTAAAAAGATTTAGACAAACATATTTAGCAACATAGACCCAAATGTATCTTATAGTCTAATATCAGAAAAGAAGACATGAAGGAATGTGTTGAAGATATTATTAAATTGAGGGAATTAATAAAACTACTCCATCAATTCAGGGCAAAAAATATTAATTTTAAGAAACATGTTTAATGAGTCAAAAGTGCAAATTACTACTTTATACATTTACTTTAACCTACCAAGTGTTTTAAATGTAAAAACTTTAAAAACAACACTGAAGTCCTTGAGCAGGACCCTGATCTCTGTCATCATTTAACTGAGAGACTCTTGGACCTGGTCTGGAATCAGACTTTACCTCAAATATGACCGCTGAAATGGCCTTGACCATAAATATCCTTCTTACCTTGTGCTGCTTTCCCTTTAAACTTAAAGCACTTTCCCATGCCTGTTATTTTGAGTCACACTGCTGCAGTTGGACACCCACACACATACACACACACACACACACACAGCGTAATACAGAGAGGGGGGTGGGGGCGAAAACAATTCAGATTGAAAAAGAATGACAGATAGAGAGAAGAGGGAGAGAGAAAGAGAAGGAGAGAGGGAGGGAGGGAGAGTCTGAACCGCTGAGATAACTCTGTCCAGGTGTTCAGAGCCAAACAAAGGCTCTTTTCAGGCCGTGATGAGAACGCACTGCTCCTCCACTTGTTGCAAAATATACAAGATAGAAAAAAAGAGCGCAACTCAGGCAGAAGCTTATATTCTGTTACAGTACCAAAATATGGACCAGGGAAGAGGACGGTCTGCCCAATTATACGAGCCTCTGCTGCTGCCACTGAACACGAGTATCAGCTTAGAGAGGAAAGTGCTGCGGGCACAACTGTGAACTATGACAATAGGTGAATTGTGTTAGATTCACACTTGTTTGAAGGTTCTCCAGCATTAAAGTTTGTCAGATAATAAGCAGAATCAACCCAGCAGGAGGAGGGAGGTGTTCTAATATGGCTACACAACAATCAACCCTGTCTCCTACAACTAAACAGGTTTTGATGGAAATGTAATCCTCAATGGATTAACATAATGAAGAAATGTTGTTAATAAACATATCAGGCAAGTTGTTAATACCAAACCTCTAAGTAAAATGTTCATTGACAATGTATTTCAGTTAACTGCAGTTGTGTGTAGTGTCTGCAGCATTATAAAACTTTATTATGGTTATGTTTGGATACTCACAGCACTCAGTTGAGGCCAGGGAAAGATCATGGTTTAATGCAGAAAATATCTGTAACGGCATGAATCATGAAACATAATGTGCTTGTTTACATTTAACCACAGTCACATTCAGAGTGTGAATTATACAATAACAATCGGAGGGCTTTCACCTTTTCTCCAGGGCAAGAGGGAACCCAGTACAGCGCAGACACGGGTTTCAGTGAACTAAGGTGTTACAGTCCTTACAGGATTTTGCTTGTTAAACTAAAGCTTCCAAATAAATGTA